CTCTCTCTCTCTCTCTCTCTCTCTCTCTCTCTCTCTCTCTCTCTGTGTGTGTGTGTGTGTGTGTGTGTGTGTGTGTGTGTGTGTGTGTGTGCAGACCTGCTAAAACGATAGTGGCTTCCCCCCGCATAGAACGTCCATTATCTGTACAGCCATAATGGTCGGGCCTTCTCCTCAACGCGAGTTTTTTTTGGAGGCAACGACCAGGGGGCAAACCGCAAAGATGACCTGGGCCGGTACGGTAAAACGAATATAAATAGGGCCTCCGAAAAGTTGAGAAGTACCAAGATATTTTGCAAGGATGGACAATGTCCGATAGGGGTATCTTGCAAAGATGGCAGGTCCAACCGATGCCAGGGGCATTTCGTTTCTTGTATCAGAGAGGTATTCCGCTCTACCCACGTCTTTTAGGGGCATTTTGGCATATATCTCAATTTATATTATCCCTAGTTCTTTGTAAGTGAGCAAAGCAAACTGCCAGGTCCGCTACCACACAGCAAGCACTGGGAAAGGGTTTCCACGAAATCCCAAAATCAACCTACCCCAAAAAGCTTCATGGCTCATCAACCAATTGGGGAACTGGTGACTACCAGAGGTAGTCTAAGAGCATGTGGTCACGGTGGGAGCGCTTTCTGTAGTTCTGAGAGTGTGTTATGATCGCCATTTGCTGGATGGTGTTGCAACTCTTTTAGGGACGCCAAATTGCGGAGCCCGTCAACTATGGCAAGTGGTAACGTGCCGAGTCTATCGGAAAACATCCTAACGCACTTACGTCTACATCATCTGCTGCATTATGACTTCATGGCTTAAAAGACCTTGGAAAAATCTTGTTGGAACGCCTTTGCACCATTGCGAGAACGTAGATCTCTCTGCCAAATAAGAGTGTCTTATTTGCATGTCTGGAATAGGTTTATATCATACCGCTAGGATATTGAAATCCTCTGACAATCAAAGTTTTATTTTTTGGCAAAGCTTAACCTGAATGGTTCAACAGACATTCTAGTGGTCACTATTTCAATTGGCCCACTGACTTCAAGAGTAATCCTCTTGTGAACTATGTACCTCCTCTTCTTCATACCTCGTTTATACTCTCAACTGTTGTTTCATAATTCAAATTACAAGTTTATTGCAAAATAAACAAATAATTTTAGTATTTTGTTTGTAAAAATTAGTTTTTCTTCCCTATCATTCCCTAACTCCTCCTTCCGTCACATTCTCTTAAATATTTATAAGTTCAAACCAATAGTTATTGTTCTGTAATTGAAGTTAAATAAACTCCGACGAAACAGTTTGTCACAGCCCCTCGTTTGTTGTCCTCTTCTCCCTCTCTGCCTACGGTTTACCGGGCAGTTCTATTTGACGATATATA